GTCTATCTGAAGTGTACCTGGCGTATAAGACGACCCCCCACTTGGAGGCATATTTTTCAGGGCCAAAAAATCGTCTTATACGCCGGCAAATACGTACCTCCAAGAGTGCAGAAGAAACTGGCCCAGAGCCATGGCCTGTGGGCAGGAGAACTTGGGGGGTCGGGCAGGACAGGGGAGAGGAAGCCTTACTTTTTACTGTTTATCCTCTTCTGCTATTTGAATTGTTGGTCATGTACATGTTTTACCAGTTTAAAATAGATTAGTTTTTAAATTTTGATATAACTTCCCATTTTCAGAAATGATGTAAGAAAAGTACAAAGAATTTATAGTTATTCTTCATCCCAAATTCTCCAAATGTTAACATTTTTTTAATAGTTTTTTTAAGTAACCCCCAAAATTGTTTTTTAAAGGAATGGGTCCCAGCAGAGATAAGCAAGGCAGGAACTATTATGCCCATTTTGCATATGAAGAAATAGAAACTCAGAGAGGCTAGACAGCTTGCCCTCTAGACACACAGCAAGTTTGTTAGTGGCAGTTGTGCCAAACCCAGGTCCCCTGACAACTCGGCCCCTGTTACCACAGTGGTGATTTATACCCACTCCAGTTTTGAAGTGACCGACTTGACAGTAGATTTCTCAATTAAAATATCTTCTCTTTTCTGAGATTTATCTTTACCTCAGTCTGTTCTTGGATTTCTGAAAATCCTGAATAACCATTGGTTTTGTCAAAACAGTAGATGAGATGTGAATGGGCCCATCTGACATCTCAAACACTTGTGACCTGGTTTTCTTACAGGCTTCTGGTCCTCCTGCCAGCACAGGTTGCCAGGAGCAATTTATAAGCACAATTCTTCCATCACCCCCAATTCTTTCTGAGGTAAAATATCTGTTGAGGGAGAGAGAAAGAGGACTTATAAAATTGTATTTTGAAAACTTGAGTTAAAATGGTGCTATAAAATTGTTCCATCTCTTTTCCATTAGGGGGCACCATTTCCCCACATTTTCTGTTTGCTAAGGTTGGAACTAGTCCCATTGGGGGTTTTTTGGTTATTGTCTTAAAAACAGAAATAGCTTTTTAATAATTACTGCATAGCAATGCATAGTCAATATAGAGCACTTAGAAAATACTCAGGCAAAAAGAAGAAAAACTTAAAATCCTTTTCGCAGATTACAGCTGCTACAGATTTCATAGATTACAGCTACTGGTAGTTATCATTCTAGACTTTTTCTAATGGACTTATACACTTAGAAAAATAGATTTATGTATTTATTGAAGTTAATATAATACAGAGGAGTACACAAATCTTAAGTGTATAACTTGATGAATTTTCACAAAATGAGTATAGCCATGTAACCACCACCCAGATCAAGAAATAAAGCACCTTTATATGGCCCCTTGCCTCCTTACAGTCACTGTCGCCCCAGAGATAACCAGTATCTTGGCTTCTAACACAAGACAATAGTTCCACTCATTTTTCAACTATATAAATGGAATCATATATATATATGTGTGTATATATGTATATATATATATATATACTGTATATGTAGTATATATGCTGTTGTGTCTAGCATTTATGGTAGTGAGATTTATCCATGTTGTTGTGTTCACAATCATTCATTTTCGTTGCTGTATTTTGTTGTATGAATTTGTATTGATTCTATATACCAGGGGTCAGGCAAACATTCTATAAAGGGCTCAGTAGTAAATATTTTAGGATTTGTGAACCATTCAGTCTCTGTTGCAATTAGTCACCTCTGCCTTTGTAGGTCAAAGGCAACTGTACCTAATATGTAAATAAATGGGCGTGGCTGTGTTCCAATGAAACTTGATTTAAAAAAAATAGATGCCTGGCTGGATTTTGCAATAGTTGCCAACTACTGCTATACTTTTTTAAAAAACATAAAAATTGTATCATATCGTATGACTAAATTTTCTGAGATGTCATAAATAGCCACTATAGCTCATCACATCCCTGTAAAAGAGGAATTTCAGGAAGTAAAATAATAGCTGGTACTTTTCTTTCTTTGTTGTAGTCTCTGGCAAACATAGACGAAGTTGTGAACAAGATTAGACTGAAAATAAGGTAAGTAATACTGTATGACTTTTAATAATGAAAAGTATCTTGTTAATTTGCATCCTGGGTCACACTTATCTGTGAGAACAGTGATGTCTCAGATTTGCTGTGGATGGTAATTTTTGAAAAAGTAATTTTATTTGGGTTGCCATATGTACCTTGTAGCAAAAAACTGGATTCTTTAATCAGTCTTCAATTATTTATGAAAAGGTATCGAAGCTATAATAGGCTGTTCAAAATAGTTGATTATAAAAGGAGGCAAAAGCATTTCTACTATATTTTTAATGGTTTTATTTTCCCTAGCAGATTACCCTTTTTTTGGTATTCCCAAGGCTTAGATATGAAGGTGGGCTTATATGTGTATCTCTTGACCACATACCAGCTACCGATGTGGTCAGATCTGATGGTTGGCATGGGTGGTGGCCCAGGATTAAACATTGTGATCAATCTAGGATGTGATTGTCTGGGATGGTCATCAAATATCCTTCCTACCCAATAGCCTTGTTCTGGTTTGTCCCCATCTGTATTTCCAGTTTTGACACATGGTAGATACTCCATGTTTGTTTATTCATTATAATAGTTATTACAATGGTTGATGTCATTACTTTAAATATAGTTTGGGGTTTTTTTTTTTAATTTTGATGAGGAGAAGTCTTTATTTTGAATCAGGAAATGATTTTTTTTTCCCCTTACAACCTTTGGGTTTTTTGGTGAAGACCTCTGCTATTAGTGTTTTGTTCAGTTGGGTGCCTTAGGTTGTGCAAAGAAGCCTGTTCATCGTTTTGGTGGACTATAGCTCTAACAATTCTAGCAGAGACCACTAAGTTGTACAGGGTTTGCACAGATAATGGAAATTCCCTGATGATTCCAAAATCACTTGTGAGCCAGTTATATTCAACTTTCTCCCCTCATACCTTTACTGGGTTCTTCAAATGAAAAATGAAATTTTTCTGATACCACTTTCTTTGGTTGAGATGTCATTAAGTGGCCCTTGTTGAGCCACACGAGAAAGAGGAACTGGAGGCCACAGATCTGTCTCCTCCACAGGTTGCACAATCAGGGCCCAGAAAGCAAAGCACTGATTTCATATACTACCCTGGCTCCTTATCCCTTTTAAGTTTCCTGAGGAAGTTACTAAGGAAGGATTTTGTGTGGGGGTAATTTGAATTCTCTGGCTTCTTCCCATCAAGTTTCAGCAACTTTCTCATTCCTGGTTTACTCCATGAAAAATACTAAAAGTTACATGGGTCCTTTTTGGACAGCTCTGAATATTAAGTGAAAATAGCCTTTTAAAAACAAAACAAAACACGAAAATGACTCATCAGTCTATGCTGGGCTTGGCTTCTTATACTGCTGGTGGTGCCGCCCCACCCGGGTCCCAGGCCTCAGTCTTCCTTGTATCATTCACACTTGCTTGGTTTTCTGGACAAGTAGTGCAATCTGCAGAAGTTGATGGATAAATTACTAACTTTTTTTTCTTTTGGTTTACCTAGACTAGAGATTATTTTAATGAACTCCTTTGACTTTTTTGCTAGGAGACTGGATGACAACATTCGAACGGTTGTAAGAGGCCAAACAAATGTGGGGCAGGATGGCAGGCAAGTAAGTAACTTACTCCTCCATATTATTTATACTCCCCTAATTTCTTCAAAACCACCAAGTGACCAAGATACTGATCTGCCTTCTTATAGAGCACGCTCTTATTGATCTGTCTCATATACAGCAGGAAATGTATGTGACTGGTCCCAGTAGTAACAGAGGTAGACTGCCTACACCAACCATGAGCACTCACTCAGTGTCCCTCGGACCAGGAGTATATATAGTAGCCTGGCTCACCCCAAAGATGGGTGGGGCATTCGAGCTAAAATGAGAAAAACGAAATTTTCTTCTCTTTCTCCTTAGTGTCAGATGTCTTTTGTGCCCTCCTTTATTTTGTGCGCTGTGGCTAAATAAGATTGTTCCTTTTATCTGTCAGCTAAGTTGTTGGGATTTTGGTATTATTTTTGTTATTTCAAAGGATAGCAGCAACCTAAGCATCAAAAGACTGTCAAAAGAGTAAAAAGGCAACCTACAGAATGGGAGAAAATATAGGTAAATCATATATCTGTAAGGGGATTAATATCCAGAATATATAGAGAACTCCTAAAATTGAACAACAAACAAACATCCCAATTAATGATGGGCAGAGGACCTGAGACATTTCTCCAAAGAAGACATAAGATTGTACTAAGCATATGAAAAAATGCTCAAGATCATTAATTATTAGGGAAATGCAAATCAAAAACTACAGTGAGTTAGTAGGATGGCTACTATCAAAAAAACACAAAATAAGTGTTATCGAGGATATGGAGAAATTGGAACCCTTGTGCACTTTTGGTGAAATGTAAAATGGTATAGCTGCTATGTAAACAGTATGGAGATTCCGCAAATATTTTTACAAAATAGAATTACCATATGACCCAGCAGTTCCACTTCCAGCTATATACTGAAATGAATTGAAAGCAGAGTCTTGAAGAGATATCTGCACACCCATATATATAGCAGCACTCATAATAGCTAAACCGTGGAAGCAACCCAAGTGTCCATTGACAAATGAATGGATAAGCAAAATGTGCTATATACATACAATGAGATATTATTCAGCCTTAAAAAGGAAAGAAATTCTGCAATATGCTATAATATGGATGAATCTTAAAGACATTATGCTAAGTGAAATAAGCCAGACACAAAAGGACAAATACTGTATGATTCTACTTATACGAGCTACCTAGATTCATAGAGGCAGAAAATAGAATGGTGGCTGCCAGAGGCTGGGGGAAAGGGGAATGTAAGTTATTGTCTAGTGGGTGTAGAGTTTCAGTTTTACAAGATGAAAAGAATTATGGGGATGGATGGTGGTGATGGTTGCACAACAGTGTGCATGTATTTAACACCATGGGACTGTACAATAAAAAACAGTTAAGATGATACATTTTGTATATTTTATCATAGTAAAATTTTTTAAATCAAGATGGAAATAAAGTTCACATATTGCAAAAAATAAAAAAAATAAATAAAAAACACCAATGTGACATAACTCCAGTTCCTCATACCTAGTTTTGTTGGCAGACAGGTAACTGTAGATTCATTTCAGAGTTTTACATTTCCTTTGGATCTAGCTAAGGAGAGCTGTTGGAAAGGAATGAAGGGAAAAAGAAGTGTGTGGGGAGGAGGTATTCTTTAATGATCCAGGCACCAGATGTTATCTGTTAGCCATTTTCCTTTTCTTTTGGGTTTTATTCTTCTGTTTGGGCATCAGATTTCAGAAATTGCTATCTAACAGAAATGCTGAGCATGTCTTTTCTGGTCTTCCTCTCACAGCGTCTGGTCGTCCCTTTTCAACACTAATTCAGTTAGGTCAGGTGTGCACCTTTGCAATAACTTCGGTTCTGTTATTTGTCCTGTTTGACATTTTTTAGTACAGCTGATTTCTTAAAATGTTAATTATGCTACCCAGATTTTTTAGGGGGAGGAGTAAGTGGAAGGTGTAATCCTGTGTAGACATTTCCGCATCTCCCATTCCTGTTTCCTCTGCTGGTAGCTCACAGGTATTATGAGTCTCTTTCTTTTACATTTTTAGTTTTATCCATAGCTCTCTTTTTCCTACATTTTATGACTTTCTTTTCTTTTTTTTTTTTTAAAGATTTTTATTGGGGAATTGGGGGATGGGAACAGTGCTGGGGAATTGGGGGAAGGGGAACAGACAAGTTGCTGTCGTTTTGTTCTTCGGTCTAGTTGTGGAGGGCGTTGCTTCACTGGCCCAAGTTGGCACCATCATTGCGCTCTTCACGGGCGAGGCAGATCAGTCTCCGGCTTCTGGACAGCCGCTCACTGCAGCTGCTGGCCACTCACGCTGCTGCTGGCTACACACGGTAGCCCATGGCAACCCACTGCCACAGGGGCTGCAGCCTACGCCGTCGCGCGACTCACAGCAGCCCAGCTCCAGGTCGAACTGCTGTTCAGCATCTTAGCTGCAGAGGGCAGTGTCACTGGCCCTCATATAAGGGATCCGAAACGGGCCCTCTGGCATCCTAAGCCGGTTCTTAACCAACGCGCCACTGGCCGGCACATGACTTTCTTTTCTTAATAATCATCTTCCGTTGGTCTGTTTGTAAGTAGTCTGCCTTCTTGTTTTCATTATCAGTATTGGTGTACAGACACATTAGGTTCCTAAAACTGATCCTATTTCCTTGCATGGTTTTTAGTTCTTGTTGCTTTGTTTTATCCATTTACAGTTCGTCCATGAAGCTTAGCCTCTCTGGCAGGGGAGGCCCATGTAAATGGGACCCTTAGAGGTCATTAAGAGGAGCAAGGAGCCTGCAAAATCTCCAGCCTCATTCTGCCCTTTAACTTTCCTACTATGTGTCTGGTCATGTCATCTATCTCTTTAGAAACCTCAGTGGCCTCTGTCTACCGAGTTAGACCCCCAAGTTCCTTTGCTCGGCATTCAAAGCCTCAGCCTGCCTTTCCAGTTTTGTCTCCTGCTGCACATCATCTACACTGAAGCCTTAGTGCTCTGCAAGCATGTCCTGTTCTTTCTGGACTTATGATTACCGTATTTAGCTATGTATGAGGTGCACTGTTTTGCCCAAATTTGTGAGGGAAAAATGAAGATGTGCAGTATACATGGGTAGTACTAATTCCGTATCTATATACATGTTTTTAATTCTCTTATATATGCTTGTGAATTAAAAGTGTAACTCTAGAAATCAATAACGATATCTGTATGCAAAAATAACACCCTGGAATACAATAATCAGTTTTGTTGAACTTACCACTGACTTGCAACATAGAGTTCTTGGCCTTCTATGATGCATAAATATCATAATTTGTTACCGGTACATAAAATTTTTTGTACCTTGTATCTGTTCTTGTGTTTTGTAATTATATGTTACATAAAATTTCCTGTACCATAATATGTTAAAAAAATGAATGCTAAAATTTCTTTATAATACAAAAAACAAGTACCTAAATGTAAACAAATTAAAATTCGAGTTAAGAAATTAAAATGAAAAATTTTTTCCCCTGAAAGTTTGGGCCCCAAATGTGGGTGCGCATTATAGACGGGAGCTCATTATACACAGCAAAATATGGTATGTTCTTTTTTTTTTTTCTTGCCTAAAATGCTCTTGCTCTTCTTTTTCTTCTAGTAGCTTATTTCAAAATCTTACCTAGTTAAGGCCCAGCTCAAATACTACTGTTTTCATGAAATTTTCGGTTTATCTCAACTGGATAAACCAAAGGAAACAGCATTTTAGAACTAGAAGGGACTTGTAACTCATCTGGTCTATTGCTCTTGTTTTACAGATGAGAAATTTGATCCCAATATCCCTCAATCAATTAGATGTATGTCCTTTCTGCCTGCAGACTCGCACCGCTCCATGCTTGTAGTTTTCATTGGCTATCCTGGTCTCTTGACTTACTAGTGAACAGCATCTTGTCCCCTTGACTAATTTATAAGCTCCTTGAGGCAGAAACTTTATCTTTCTCATCTTCGCATTTCTCAGAACACATAGTCCATATGTAGTAACAATATATTCAGTTGTATGGAATATTTAGTCTGTGTTAGATTACTTGTAAATTGTAAATAAACAAAAGCTCTGCCATAAAAACATCATTTTGATCAGTGTGTATGTTCCTTTCAAGTTGTTTAAAGCTTGATTTGTGTATGACTAGTCCCAACTTACTACTATTTAAAAGAATAATGCTACTGTTTGGTGTGATTCAGTCTACATTGAGAATGGCTTACTGGAAACTTTAATATACATACGAGCGTCTCAGGTACTTAAAACTTCAAGAACCTGAAAATAAAGTGAATGATTCATCAGGGCTTTTTGTTGGGTCATGCTATGTAGATATCTTTTAGTTAGTTCTATTTTAACCTGTGGTCGGTCACAAACAAGCGGTATTGGTGAGCCAGGCCTGGAATTAGACAGCCTGCAGGAATGGTGGCCTTCCCCACCTCCCAGATTAATAGGTTACAGGTTGCTGCAGAGCAGAGCAGGTCATATTTCAGAGAGCAAGACCACATTTTCAAGCATGTTTAGATAGCATTTCAATCTGTGATGGAATTTTATATTCATCTCCTTAGAATCCAGACAAAAAGGAAGCCCAGAAGAAATAATTGCTTTCCCTGTCATCCCCTCCATCTGTCTTTTCCAACAGTTTGTAATGCAAGCTGAAGTAGAAACTTTTTTTTCCAGGGAGCTTTTGAGTCCTGTCCTTGTCAACTCCTAAAGGTGAAAGCCTTGCTGTCCAGCCCTGGCTAGCCGGTGGTTTGCTGAAGGGAGACTGGATTAGACTGGCACAGACTCGGGAGAATTATAGATGTTCCAAATTGCTTAGTTTTATAGGTCAAGAGGCCCCAGGTTTTTCTCTTCCCTGGGACAGAGGAAATGTTTGCTTTCAGAACTTGTTTCCTGAGCTTCTGAGGAACACTCAGGAGGAGAGCAGTGATACAGACAAAAGGAAGTTTTCATTTTATAAATTTCATCTTGATTGTGTTCAGCCAGAACCGATGTGCTTTTATCTGTGTAAATAAGGGGAAAGTATTTCCTTCACAT